CCCTCACTGTAGCACCTAACCTCCCATTACAGCCCCTATCCCCCCACTACAGCCCCTATCCCGGACTGCTGCCTTTAAACCCTCACTGTAGCACCTATCCCCCCTCCCCCTTGCTATATTGAGGCTGAGGGGGAGCTGACTTAATCTCCTTTCCCACCTTCTACTAAATGGAACTTAATATTTCCCACATACACCACACATCACAAACAGCTACACTCACATTACACAAGCATCACACACAGCTACACTCACATCACACACAGCTACACTCACAATACACACAGCTACTCACATTACACACGCATTACTCACAGCTACACTCAAATCTCCCCATGCAGCCACACACATCATTCACAGCTAAACTCACATTACACATGCCAGTCTTATACATCACGCACAGAAAGTCACAACACACACAGCTACAACACTTGCACCTAGGCAAAACACGCGCCCTCACCACACACTCAACGTTAGAGAATATTAAACTGATACCATAGGTACTTAGACCACTTCAGCTCACTGAAGTGGTCTGTGTGTAATGTCCCTATTGCACTTAGTGCTGCAATGTCAAACATAATTCGAGAGATATTGCAACTCTAAATCTGCCTCTAGCGGCTGTATACCAGACAGCCACTGGGGGCGCTTCCTGGTTTGAAACAGATCTTTGGTCCAGTATCTGACGCTGGACGTCCTAACGCTCTGCAGGAGGACCTCCAGCGTCAGATTTTTCTGCATAGGAAAGCATAGATTCAACGTCGGAGCCTTGACTCCGCGCCGGGATCGGGTAAGTAAATAAAGGGTTTTTAACCCAGGCAGGGGGAGCGATAGTGCCAGAAGTACAGCTTTGTACTTTTCCTTTAACCCCTTAAGGACTGAGCCAAATGTACACGTTGTGATCAAAACAAAACGTAAACAAAAACCTGGAATTTGTGCCATATGTCTGTTCAGGTGTAATTCGCCTCTTTCATATTATGTGCACCCACACTTATTATTTATCATTTTATTCAGGGGAAACAGGGCTTTCATTTATCATCAAATATTTAGGTATGAAACATAATTTAATATGAATACAATATAAAAAAAATGGGAGAAAATAAGATTTTTCTTCATTTTTTTAGTTCTACGTGACATTCTAACTGTGAATGTCATATTACTGTTTGCTTTTACTGCAATAAAATACACATATTTGTATTCAGCAATGTCTCACGTGTAAGATAGTACCCCCTATATACAGGTTTTATGGTGTTTTGGGAAGTTACAGAGTCAAATGCAGCATGTTAAATTTTTCAGTTTTTTCACATTGAAATTCGCCAGGTTGGTTTCATACCTTGGGTTGTCTACTATTGCAAATGGTATGCCATCATGGGGATGATTATCATTCCTGGGCTACCGAAAGGTCTCAAAGGCAACGTAACCAATCTGGCAAATTTCGATGTGAAAAAACTGAAAAATGTAACGTGCCATATTTGACTCTGTAACTTTTGAAAACACCATAAAACCTGTACATGAGGGGTACTGTAATACTCGGGAGACGTCGTTTCAAACCAGTAAAACGTATCACAACAATTATATTGTCCGTTTAAGTGCCATTTTTGTGTGAAAATTCACAAAAATTCACTTTCACTGACGATATCATCGTTGTAATAAATGTTACTGTTTTGAAACACTAATATTTGTGTTCAGTGAAGTCTTCTGAGTAAAACAGTACCCCCCATGTACAGGTTTTATGGTGTCTTGGAAACTTACAGGGTCAAATATAGCAAATTAAATTCCCTGGACTTTCGGCCTGGGTTGTCAGGCAGGTACCGCTAATTGTAATTAATAAAATGACCTAATTATATAAAATTATTACATACATTTTTTTTATTTATATATATATATATATATATATATGCATATATACTTACGTATATAGATATATATATTATTTCGTTCTACGTGTATTTTGATATCAATATATATATATATTAATTTTAAAATACAGTTAGCATGAAATTACACATGTATATTTTTTATTTATTTTGTATTTTATTACGTATTTACATATTTATTTTATATTATATATACATATAATGATAATTATATATATATTTAATCAATATAATTCTATGTGTATTTTGATATTAATATATATATATATGATTATAGATATTATTAAAATACACTAAGTGTATGTGTGTATATCTATATATATATATATATATATATATATATAGATATACACACACACACTTAGATCATATATATAATAAATATATATATATATATGATCTCAGTATATATAATTTAATTTTAAACTGTTTTTAACATTTATTTTTTTATTTTATTTTTTAACGTATTTACATATTTATTTATTTTATATTATATATAAATATATGTATATAATGAAAATTATATATTTAATCAATATCATTGTACGTGTATTTTGATATTAATATATATTTATAATTATATATATATTAATATTAAAATACACTTAGACAGTGTATGTGTATGTATGTATATGTGTATATATACATATATATATATATGTATATATATATATACTTAGATCATATATATAATAAATATATATATATGATATGAGTATATATATCATTTCATTTTAAACTGTTTTTAACATTTTAATTTTTTTTTACAGACTGCAGGGGGAGTACCTTTCATTACAGGCACTCCCCCTGCTGGCACTGAGGTCCTCGCAAGGACCTCGCGATCACATGGCCCAGGGGGGCCGAAAGCGACGGAGGGGACTCCCTGGGCTCCCAGGTGAGTCCCCATGCCATGATCGCCAGCGTGGGATCGCCGGCGACCGGGTAAGTACCCTGGACGGTGGGGACGTGCTATGCCGCCCACCGGCGTTTACAACCGGTTCCCTAAGGACATCATAGCACGCCCGCCGTCCTTAGGGGGTTAAACAGTAACATAGAGATTCTCCCTGTTGTGACTCTGGTGCACACAGAAATTAAATGGGCTGCGAATGCTTATGACCAGCACGCAGTGACTTTACTGGAGACTGGGTAAATGAGCGGCCCAGGCAGACCCAGCAAAGAGCGTTGATACTGGCCAGACTGCTGTAAAGGCAGGCACTTTATATGTATAGATGCACCCACGGCCACAGCCATTACTCACAGACTCACTCTTCTGGTGGCCGGTGCACGCTGCAGACTGCTACATCCATCCCAATAGGCTAGGTAGCGCACCGCAGGGGTGCAGCGTTTGTGTCCAGACCTACAGAACATCGAAACCATGTAGAAACCCTAATCTCGGGTGGATGGGGGGACAATGGCAAAGAAATCTAATATCTGCATTAATGTGATTAGAAAATAATAAAGGAACAGCTCAAAACACAAACTGAAGTGATTGTGGTACCAGGAGCGCCCTGGCATGCTTCCAATGTGTAGCAGAGCCCTAGTCCTAGCAGGGACTCTCCTCTGCTGGTGCACCAAAATACAGTCAGGAACAAGCAATATAATCCAATAATCTCCCACCTCCTTCCTAGAAACTGGACAACACTCCGCTCTAGGGGTATAACAACTTTTTTCTCACCTACACGGCTTTTATGCCCAGTACTATTCAAGGGGTTTCATACACAATAAATGCAGGGATATCAATCCCAGAATCCCATGTGTCTGAGAGATAATTGCTTGAGTAAACTCCTCTAATTTAATTATCTCTTAGGTACAGAAAATTCACAAAATATCCCGTACCCCAACCATACATAGGAACCCCACAAAAAGCACATTCCCCGATAGCCCCAATCTGAGTGACCAACATGTATAAGAATCACTCGGGAATGCCATTGAGGTAAAGTTTTGACCGGCCAGACACGAGGCGCTAGCCCAAAACAGTTCCAGGGTAACAGATGTCCTGGCCTGTCTCTGTTCGTGGGGTTCCTGTGCGAACACCATACAAGGGAATCTCTTGTTTTCAGGGTACGAATGCTCCCCCTGTTCGGTAGTTTATATTTCCCAAATGCCGTTCGTGTAGATGGTTGGGAACAGGCAGTGGTCGAAGGTTTACCGGTGTTTGCGCGAGTGCCAAGCCGAAAATAGTTCCAGGCACTCGATGACCAAGTATTGCGGCCCTCCTTGGGGAGACAAGATGGCCGCCATTCTCTCTGCCACATGTTCGGTTTTACGAAATGGTGGCCACCCAGGGGAAGCATTCATTAATTGTTTCCCTTGAGGTGTTCGCACTTAAGTAGCTGGTGTTAACTTGTTAATGGGGTACAGGGGTGATCCTTGTTCGGGAGATGAATGGATTCCATTCGTATGAAGTCTCCCGAGCGGCCAAAGAGGAACCAGATGAAATAACAGGGGAAAAGACACAGTACCTTAACGGGGGTGGGGACAGCAAATAAAGGGAATAAAAGTAGCTGGTAATTTTCTATTCCACTACACATTGTTTATAGTCAAACCGTTTGTTAAAGTATGACAACTTACCTGGGGTCTGCCACTCACAGTCTCCTGCGGAGCCAGAAGCTGACCCAAGTCCTGCCGCGCAGGGCTAGCTCATTAGCAAATTGTGTCAACTATTGCTATTTTGTAAATGTTGCTTATCCAAATCGTGCGCTCCTTCTGACTGCAGCATTTCCAAGTTTTAGTGAATAGAACCCCGAAAAGCAATCCGCCACCACAACGCTATAGTGAATATTGTCATCACTGGTTGGTTTCCAACACTTACTGCACCCACCACGTCACTGCACACACCCACCACACCACACATCACTGCTCACGCACATCACAGCACACACAAACCCAGTGCGCACACACCACCCATCTCTGTACGCACACACTAATAAACAGCCTGGAAATTTCTGGAAATTAACTCAATGTCAATCAATTTAGCCTCAACAAAAATAAAGACTAAACAGGAACTGCGTTCCTTAACAAAAACCAAGTAAAGAGTCAGGGAGCGGACTGCATTCTGCCCAAAACAAATATGGAATATTGGTGATTGGCAGCACCTGTCCTGGCTATTAATAGTCAATACTATGAGCCTTTTTTGTTCTAAGTGAGGTCAGGCTGGGGGCTGACACAGCATTCCCCTTGCTGGCCTTTATTCTAAGCCTTGAGCTTGAAAACACTCCTGGCTATGAATAGTAATCTTGCCGCCTGTGCCATGACCCCATTAACAAAACAGTGTGATGTATAACCCTGAGACTGAGCACATGGGATGAATCACTTATTGCGATCCGACGACTGAGCGTGTAACAATAATTCACTTATTGACATCCGACGACTGAGCGTGTAACGATAAATCACTTATTGCGATCCGAGGACTGAGCGTGTAACAATAAATCACTTATTGACATCCGACGACTGAGCGTGTAACAATAAATCACTTATTGAGATCCGACGACTGAGCGTGTAACAATAATTCACTTATTGAGCTCCGAGGACTGAGCGTGTAACGATAAATCACTTATTGAGATCCAAGGACTGAGCGTGTAACGATAAATCACTTATTGAGATCCGACGACTGAGCATGTAACAATAGTTCACTTATTGAGATCCGACGACTGAGCGTGTAATGATAAATCACTTACTGAGCTCCGACGACTGAGCGTGTAACAATAATTCACTTATTGAGATCCGAGGACTGAGCGTGTAACAATAAATCACTTATTGAGCTCCGACGACTGAGCGTGTAACAATAATTCACTTATTGAGATCAGAGGACTGAGCGTGTAACAATAAATCACTTATTGAGATCCGAGGACTGAGCGTGTAACGATAAATCACTTATTGAGATCCGACGACTGAGCGCGTAACGATAAACCACTTATTGCGAGCCAACGACTGAGCGTGTAACAATAATTCACTTATTGACATCCGACGACTGAGCGTGTAACGATAAATCACTTACTGAGCTCCGACGACTGAGCGTGTAACAATAATTCACTTATTGAGATCCGAGGACTGAGCGTGTAACAATAAATCACTTATTGAGCTCCGACGACTGAGCGTGTAACAATAATTCACTTATTGAGCTCCGACGACTGAGCGTGTAACGATAAATCACTTATTGAGATCCGAGGACTGAGCGTGTAACGATAAATCACTTATTGAGATCCGACGACTGAGCGCGTAACGATAAACCACTTATTGCGAGCCAACGACTGAGCGTGTAACAATAATTCACTTATTGACATCCGACGACTGAGCGTGTAACGATAAATCACTTATTGAGATCCGACGACTGAGCGTGTAACGATAATTCACTTATTGCGATCCGAGGACTGAGCGTGTAACGATAATTCACTTATTGCGATCCGAGGACTGAGCGTGTAACGATAAATCACTTATTGAGATCCGAGGACTAACAATAATTCACTTATTGAGCTCCGACGACTGAGCGTGTAACGATAAATCACTTCTTGAGATCCGACGACTGAGCGTGTAACGATAAATCACTTATTGACATCCGACGACTGAGCGTGTAACGATAAATCACTTATTGAGATCCGACAACTGAGCGTGTAACAATAAATCACTTATTTGGCTCCGACGACTGAGCGCGTAACGATAAATCACTTATTGCGAGCCAACGACAGAGCGTGTAAGAATAATTCACTTATTGACATCCGACGACTTAGCGTGTAACGATAAATCACTTATTGAGATCCGACGACTGAGCGTGTAACAATAATTCATTTATTGCGATCCGACGACTGAGCGTGTAACAATAATTCACTTATTGAGCTCCGAGGACTGAGCGTGTAACGATAAATCACTTATTGAGATCCGACGACTGTGCGTGTAACGATAAAACACTTATTGAGATCCGACGACTGAGCGTGTAATGATAAATCACTTAATGAGATCCGACGACTGAACGTGTAATGATAAATCACTTATTGAGATTCGAGGACTAAGCGTGTAACAATAAATCACTTATTGAGATCCGAGGACTGAGCGTGTAACGATAAATCACTTATTGAGATCCGACGACTGAGCGCGTAACGATAAATCACTTATTGCGAGCCAACGACTGAGCGTGTAACAATAATTCACTTATTGAGATCCGACGACTGAGCGTGTAACGATAAATCACTTATTGAGATCCGACGACTGAGCGTGTAACGATAAATCACTTATTGAGATCCGACGACTGAGCGTGTAACAATAATTCACTTATTGCGATCCGAGGACTGAGCGTGTAACGATAAATCACTTGTTGAGATCCGACGACTGAGCGTGTAACAATAATTCACTTATTGAGCTCCGACGACTGAGCGTGTAACGATAAATCACTTATTGAGATCCGAGGACTGAGCGTGTAACGATAAATCACTTATTGAGATCCGACGACTGAGCATGTAACAATAGTTCACTTATTGAAATCCGACGACTGCGCGTGTAACGATAAATCACTTATTGAGATCCGACGACTGAGCGTGTAACAATAATTCACTTATTGCGATCTGAGGACTGAGCGTGTAACGATAAATCACTTATTGAGATCCGAGGACTGAGCATGTAACAATAATTCACTTATTGAGCTCCGAGGACTGAGCGTGTAACAATAATTCACTTATTGCGATCCGAGGACTGAGCGTGTAACGATAAATCACTTATTGAGATCCGACGACTGAGCATGTAACAATAGTTCACTTATTGAGATCCGACGACTGAGCGTGTAATGATAAATCACTTATTGAGCTCCGAGGACTGAGCGTGTAACAATAATTCACTTATTGAGATCCGAGGACTGAGCGTGTAACAATAAATCACCTATTGAGCTCCGATGACTGACCGTGTAACAATAATTCACTTATTGAGCTCCGACGACTGAGCGTGTAACGATAAATCACTTATTGAGATCCGACGACTGAGCGTGTAACGATAAATCACTTATTGAGATCCGAGGACTGAGCGTGTAACGATAAATCACTGATTGAGATCCGAGGACTGAGCGTGTAACGATAAATCACTTATTGAGATCCGACGACTGAGCGTGTAACGATAAATCACTTATTGAGATCCGACGACTGAGCATCTAACAATTAATCCTACGCTGTTACACTATACAGAGGGAGCAATCCCATTGTATCTGTTACATTATACGAAGGGAGCAATCCCATTGTATCTGTTACAATGGGATCGGTCCCTCCGTATAGTGTTACAGATACAATGGGATCGCCCCCTCCGTATAGCGTAACAGATACAATGGGATCGCTCCCTCTGTATAGTCTAACAGATACAATGGGATCGCCCCCTCCGTATAGTGTAACAGATACAATGGGATCGCCCCCTCCGTATAGTGTTGCAGATACAATGGGATCGCTCCCTCCGTATAGTGTAAGAGATACAATGGGATCGCCCCCTCCGTATAGTGTAACAGATACAATGGGATCGCCTCCTCTGTATAGTGTAACAGATACAATGGGATCGCTCCCTCCGTATAGTGTTACAGATACAATGGGATCGCTCCCTCCGTATAGTGTAACAGATACAATGGGATCGCTCCCTCCGTATAGTGTTACAGATACAATGGGATACAATGGGATCGTCCCTCCGTATAGTGTAACAGATACAATGGGATCGCTCCCTCCGTATAGTGTTACAGATACAATGGGATCGCTCCCTCCGTATAGTGTTACAGATACAATGGGATCGCTCCCTCCGTATAGTGTAAGAGATACAATGGGATCGCCTCCTCTGTATAGTGTAACAGATACAATGGGATCGCTCCCTCCGTATAGTGTTACAGATACAATGGGATCGCTCCCTCCGTATAGTGTAACAGATACAATGGGATCGCTCCCTCCGTATAGTGTAACAGATACAATGGGATCGCTCCCTCCGTATAGTGTAACAGATACAATGGGATCGCCCCCTCCGTATAGTGTAACAGATACAATGGGATCGCTCCCTCCGTATAGTGTAACAGATACAATGGGATCGCTCCCTCCGTATAGTGTAACAGATACAATGGGATCGCTCCCTCCGTATAGTGTAACAGATACAATGGGATCGCTCCCTCCGTATAGTGTAACAGATACAATGGGATCGCTCCCTCCGTATAGTGTAACAGATACAATGGGATCGCTCCCTCCGTATAGTGTAACAGATACAATGGGATCGCTCCCTCCGTATAGTGTAACAGATACAATGGGATCGCTCCCTCCGTATAGTGTAACAGATACAATGGGATCGCTCCCTCCGTATAGTGTAACAGATACAATGGGATCGCTCCCTCCGTATAGTGTAACAGATACAATGGGATCGCTCCCTCCGTATAGTGTAACAGATACAATGGGATCGCTCCCTCCGTATAGTGTAACAGATACAATGGGATCGCTCCCTCCGTATAGTGTAACAGATACAATGGGATCGCTCCCTCCGTATAGTGTTACAGATACAATGGGATCGCCCCCTCCGTATAGTGTAACAGATACAATGGGATCGCTCCCTCCGTATAGTGTAACAGATACAATGGGATCGCTCCCTCCGTATAGTGTAACAGATACAATGGGATCGCCCCCTCCGTATAGTGTAACAGATACAATGGGATCGCTCCCTCCGTATAGTGTAACAGATACAATGGGATCGCTCCCTCCGTATAGTGTAACAGATACAATGGGATCGCCCCCTCCGTATAGTGTAACAGATACAATGGGATCGCTCCCTCCGTATAGTGTAACAGATACAATGGGATCGCTCCCTCCGTATAGTGTAACAGATACAATGGGATCGCTCCCTCCGTATAGTGTAACAGATACAATGGGATCGCTCCCTCCGTATAGTGTAACAGATACAATGGGATCGCTCCCTCCGTATAGTGTAACAGATACAATGGGATCGCCCCCTCCGTATAGTGTAACAGATACAATGGGATCGCTCCCTCCGTATAGTGTAACAGAAACAATGGGATCGCTCCCTCCGTATAGTGTAACAGATACAATGGGATCGCTCCCTCCGTATAGTGTAACAGATACAATGGGATCACTCCCTCCGTATAGTGTAACAGATACAGTGGGATCGCTCCCTCCGTATAGTGTAACAGATACAATGGGATCGCTCCCTCCGTATAGTGTAACAGATACAATGGGATCGCCCCCTCCGTATAGTGTAACAGATACAATGGGATCACTCCCTCCGTATAGTGTAACAGATACAGTGGGATCGCTCCCTCCGTATAGTGTATCTGCCATGTATAATAGAGGGGGAAGGGGCGGTATCTCAAAGGACAGCTGCTCCGTAGTCTCCCCTGTCTCTGACCCTTCGTGTACAAGGTCAAATGTCGGCTGGATTCCCTCACATCTCCTGACCTTGTACACGTGGCTGAATGGGAGTCAGAACAGCTGATCACAAGGCGTGGGTCAATCTGTGGCCATTAACACTTCTTGTGCCAGACAATACGTATTCTAAGAAATGGCTGGGCTGGCACATTGTGAATGGTCTGAAATATACAGAGAATACATATAGCATGTGCAATTTAATGCATGGCAGCATTATACCATGTGGTCAGTACAGCGACCCAGATTACGTTGGTTTTGGCTCTGTGTTGCAGACGTACAGTCCAGTCGCCATAATTCTAGGAGATTACATCCTTTAACCTTGTGTGAATTACAGCCATTTCTGTGTATAGTATCTCCATTTTGGCAATGGGATTGCTCAAGTGTCACTAATTCCTGTCTGTAGATTCAGTATAGGATCTACCAGTGATTTCACTTGTGGTATTTAACCCCTTAAGGAAACATGACATGTGTGACATGTCATGATTCCCTTTTATTCCAGAAGTTTGGTCCTTAAGGGGTTAAATTGGAAATCTGTTACCTCCAACATTGAAGGACCACTCTAGGCACCCAGACCACTTCATCTTAATGAAGTGGTCTGGGTGCCAGGTCCTTCTAGGGTTAACCCATTTTTTCATAATTATAGCAGTTTCAGAGAAACTGCTATAATTATGAATGGGTTAAGCCTTCCCCCTAATCCTCTAGTGGCTGTCTCATTGACAGCCACTAGAGGCGCTTGCGTGCTTCTCACCGTGAAAATCACAGTGAGAGCACGCCAGCGTCCATAGGAAAGCATTGTAAATGCTTTCCTATGAGACCGGCTGAATGCGCGCGCAGCTCTTGCCGCGCGTGCGCATTCAGCCGGCGGGGCGTAACGGAGGCGGAGAGGAGGAGGAGAGCTCTCCGCCCAGCGCTGGAAAAAGGTAAGTTTTTACCCCTTTCCCCTTCCAGAGCCGGGCGGGAGGGGGACCCTGAGGGTGGGGGCACCCTCAGGGCACTATAGTGCCAGGAAAACGAGTATGTTTTCCTGGCACTATAGTGGTCCTTTAAGGCCAGTTATCATTGCTTAAAATCTCATAAAAGTGTAATTTCTGCGATTATCATCTTCACAATGTATCACAACTCCAGCCTCCAGTCATAGAGAACTCATTGTATGGACCAGAGAGACAACTTCAGCCACCAGCAACGGATAACTCATTGTAAGGAGCAGAGAGACACAATTCCAGCCGCCAGTAACGGAGAACTCATTGTATGTACCAAACAGGGCCGGTGCAAGGATTTCTGCCGCCCTAGGCAAAGATCCATTTTGCCGCCCTCCTCATGTCACTAACTCACTGACAGACACACAAACACTCATTCACTGACACACACACACACACTCACTGAGATACATACTCACTGACAAACACACACACAGGCAGACACTCAGTGACACACACACACTCACTGACAGTCAAACACTCACCTTCCTGGGGTCCAGTGTGTAGCAGCTCCTCACTCTGCCATCGCGCCGTTTAGTACGTCAGGGCTGAAATTACGTCATATTCCGGCTCCCGGCATTACAGAGGGCGCGCAAGGGAGGAGTGAGAGGCTGCAAGAACAGCCTCCCTTGCCGCCTTCCTGCTCCGTCCCCCTCTCCAGTTACCGGCATTTTTTGGCAGAGCAGGCACCAGCCATAAAGGTAGCAGGTTCCTGCTCTGCCTTACCTAATACAGGTCCAGGGGTGCCCTGAGGATCGGCCCGGCATTGGAGGCAGCTCAGGAGCCCCTTTCCCAGCGCTGCAACCCCAGACAGGGGGAGCCCACCAGGAAATATCCCTGTGGGCGCCCCCAAACAGGCCGGCGCCTTAGGCAAAGGCCTAGTTCGCCTAACGGTGGCGCCAGCCCTGGTACCAAAGAGACAACTCCAGCCGCCAGTAATGGAGAACTCATTGTGAGATAGCTCAGTGGGCTAATGCATCACCAGACCAGAGAGACAACTCCAGCAACTCATTGTATGGATCAGAGACACACAACTTCAGCAAAAGAGAACTCATTGCATGGACCAGCCGCCAGTAATGGAGAACTCATTGCATGGACCAGAGAGACACAACTCCAGCGTCAGGTTTATAGTTGATCCAGCATGCACAATAGTATCACACCCAGGACTAAGGATAACGTCTAACCCAGGGGTCCTCAAACTACGGCATATAGGGCCACCCGATGGGCCCAATATCTTCTTTAAGAAATTGCAGCTGCAAGTAGTGCTGGGAGGAAGTGATGGCCGGTCACTTCCTACAAGCTCGCCGTGAGGAGGGAAGAGCCACGCCGACTCCCATCAGCCACAGCCATCCTCCTGCAAAAAAAGGTAAGAAAATTAGCTATGTGATTGTGTATTTATGTATGTCAGTATGTCTGTGTGTGTGTGCGTATGTATGTCTGTGTGTGTGTATGTATGTATTTCAGTATGTGTGTGTGTGTGTGTGTGTCTGTGTATGTATGTGTATGTATTTCAGTATGTATGTCTGTGTGTATGTATATGTATTTCAGTATGTGTATGTATTTCAGTATGTATGTATCTGCATGTATTTCAGTATGTGTATGTATTTCAGTATGTATGTCAATATGTGTATGTTTTTCAGTATTTATGTCAATATGTATGTATGTATGTCTGTGTGTGTGTGTGTGTGTGTGTGTGTATGTATCTGTATGTATGTGTTTGTATGTATGTCAGTATGTGTATGTCTGTCTGTATGTATGTATGTATATGTGTGTGTGTGTATGTATATGTATGTGTCTGTCTGTGTATGTATGTATGTGTGTCTGTGTGTGTGTATGTGCTTGTATGTATGTCAGTATGTGTATGTCTGTCTGTATGTATGTATATATGTGTGTGTGTGTGTATGTATGTGTCTGTCTGTATGTATGTATGTGTGTCTGTATGTCTGTCAGTATGTATGTGTGTATCTATGTCCTTATGCTTGTGTGTGTCTGTATGTATGTTAGTATGTGTCTGTGTGTCTGTATATGTCTATGTGTCTGTTTCAGTATGTATAGGAATTTGTAATAAAAATGTCAAACCTTTCGGCCAACCGTGTCCGAGGGACAGTGAACTGGCCCCCTGTTTGAAAAGTTTGAGGACCCCTGGTCTAACTGGACCTTAGAATGGCCGGACTTAACGTACCCAAGAATAGTCAAAATACTTGCTGAGGTCAGGGACACAGAATAAGACACAACGATGAGGAAAGTGGAAGCAGTAACAGTGATATAGAAAGGGTAGTAGATACCTGGAATAGCCTCCCAGTGGGAGCAGTAACAGTGATATAGAAAGGGTAGTAGATACCTGGAATAGCTTTCCAGTGGGAGCAGTAACAGTGATACAGAACGGGTAGTAGATACCTGGAATAGCCTTCCAGTGGGAGCAGTAACAGTGATATAGAAAGGGTAGTAGATACCTGGAATAACCTCCCAGTGGGAGCAGTAACAGTGATATAGAAAGGGTAGTAGATACCTGGGATAGCCTTCCAGTGGGAGCAGTAACAGTGATATAGAAAGGGTAGTAGATACCTGGAATAGCCTTCCAGTGGGAGCAGTAACAGTGATATAGAAAGGGTAGTAGATACCTGGAATAGCCTTCCAGTGGGAGCAGTAACAGTGATATAGAAAGGGTAGTAGATACCTGGAATAGCCTAGATGGAATAGCCTTCCAGTGGGAGCAGTAACAGTGATATAGAAAGGGTAGTAGATACCTGGAATAGCCTTCCAGTGGAAGCAGTAACAGTTATATAGAAAGGGTAGTAGATACCTGGAATAGCTTTCCAGTGGGAGCAGTAACAGTGATATAGAACGGGTAGTAGATACCTGGAATAGCCTTCCAGTGGGAGCAGTAATAGTGATACAGAAGGGTAGTAGATACCTGGAATAGCCTTCCAGTGGGAGCAGTAACAGTGATATAGAAAGGGTAGTAGATACCGGAATAGCCTTCCAGTGGGAGCAGTAACAGTGATATAGAAAGGGTAGTAGATACCTGGGAATAGCCTCCCAGTGGGATATAAAGGGTAGTAGATACCTGGAATAGCCTTCCAGTTGGAGCAGTAACAGTGATATAGAAAGGGTAGTAGATACCTGGAATAGCCTTCCAGTGGAAGCAGTAACAGTGATATAGAAAGGGTAGTAGATACCTGGAATAGCTTTCCAGTGGGAGCAGTAACAGTGATATAGAACGGGTAGTAGATACCTGGAATTGCCTTCCAGTGGGAGCAGTAATAGTGATACAGAACGGGTAGTAGATACCTGGAATAGCCTTCCAGTGGGAGCAGTAACAGTGATATAGAAAGGGAAGTAGATACCGGGAATAGCCTTCCAGTGGGAGCAGTAACAGTGATATAGAAAGGGTAGTAGATACCTGGGAATAGCCTCCCAGTGGGATATAAAGGATAGTAGATACCTGGAATAGCCTTCCAGTTGGAGCAGTAACAGTGATATAGAAAGGGTAGTAGATACCTGGAATAGCCTTCCAGTGGAAGCAGTAACAGTGATATAGAAAGGGTAGTAGATACCTGGAATAGCTTTCCAGTGGGAGCAGTAACAGTGATATAGAACGGGTAGTAGATACCTGGAATTGCCTTCCAGTGGGAGCAGTAATAGTGATACAGAACGGGTAGTAGATACCTGGAATAGCCTTCCAGTGGGAGCAGTAACAGTGATATAGAAAGGGAAGTAGATACCAAGGGAAGTCAAAACGAAGCCAAAGTCAAATACCAGAAAAATGCCAACACCCTCTCAGATAACCATATGCATGATATAGACAGTGCACTGACAAAAAGGTAATTTGGGTTTATATAACCCTCCTTAGGCTGTAATTGGCTGTCTCTGACCGCTGACCCCAAAACGTGCGTGCACGTCTATGACGTGACGCCGCACGTACGTCGGCGCCATCTTTGATGTGGGCGAAGGTAAGTCTCTTATAAAAGCCTGATCCGCAATGGCCGGCGTTCCTAAGAACGTCGCACCTGCTGGGGACCGGAACGGAGGGAGACCGGGTTTCTGCCCGCCAAGCCCAAGGTAAGTTTGAAACATTTGATGGTGTGGCTGATTAGTTTGAGTGCAGCCACGCCGGCAGAGATGTAACCGAGAACTCATTGTATGGACCAGAGAGACAACTCCAGCAACGAAGAACTCATTGTATGGACCAGCTTCCAGTAACCGAGAACTCATTGTATAGACCAGACTCCAGTCTCCAAGAACTGCTTGCGTGGACTGATGAGACTATAATTACACATGGACCTGACAGAGAAGAAAAGCCAGTGCCTTAGCTGGGTAAAGGGCCACCAGAACAGACTTTGTTATATTTATTGATTTTATGACAACAACTGAATGGATAAGGTCTGCACCCCAACTTTCTGACTGCCCTGAACAATTACAATTATTTATATAGCGACCACATATTCCGCAGCGCTGTACAATAAGAAAACAAGACAAAAATGTAATTCTAGCAAAACATGTAGGACATTGGGAACAGTAGGTGAACAGGTCTCTTCCAAACGAGCTTATAAACTAGATGGTTATCCCTGCTGTAGGTTTCCTCTTCTCCCCGCTACCTCTCACTGCCTGGCTCTTCCTCCAATTCCCTGCTTGAGTTCCTTGCTTCCAGACACTCAAAGCATTTTGTGCTTGTATAATAGGAGCTCGTAACATGATTAAAATTGCAAACATGTCTGTGTGTCATTCTGTATCCATGTCATATCACAAGAGACCCATTGCCATACCTGACATTTTCTCAGTGTGACAGACTGGACTAGTGAATTATATAAACCTCCTCTCTACTGCAATTACAGTCGCGTCCTTGTTAGTAATTATAGACAAGTCAACAGAATAATCAATAAAGGCTAACACCGATATAGAAAGGGTAGTAGATACCTGGAATAGCCTTCCAGTGGGAGCAGTAACAGTGATATAGAAAGGGTAGTAGATACCTGGAATAACCTTCCAGTGGAAGCAGTAACAGCGATATAGAAAGGGTAGTAGATACCTGGAATAGCCTTCCAGTGGTAGCAGTAACAGTGATACAGAAAGGGTAGTAGATACCTGGAATAGCCTTCCAGTGGGAGAGGTAATGGCTAACAATGACCGACCCAGGATACCAACCGAGCTGAGACACCTAGAGATTTAATGACACCAACTGACCCAGGATACCAACCCATCTGCGATACGGATTTAACAAGAATCCACCCAAGGACTCAGAATGATTCCGGATTCTCACTGTCCTAACAGCACCAACAGATCCAGTGACACTAACTGACTTAACCCTTTAAGGACACATGACCTGTGTGACATGTTATGATTCCCTTTTATTCCAGAAGTTTGGTCCTTAAGGGGTTAAATAATGTCACTGAGCTAATAACCAGTCCATTTGCTCTGATTCTGGCTACAAGCTGTTCTGAAAAACACTCAGGATCTGTATCTACTCCTGTAAAATACCCAAGCACTAGGCCAGCTATTCCTGAGACATTTCGGGCATGTGGGGAATGAGATACTAGCCAAACACAGGCACACGCCACACACATGCTCTGATCTTCTGTCAAATATAGGGAACAATGAAGGTCTCCGATTACACTAAGCTGAGTGTAGGGGGGGTCTGTGCTATTACACTAAGCTGAGTGTAGGGGGGGGGTCTGTGCTTTGAGATGAATACTGTAGGATAAGCAGAGGGGAATCACACAGGGTGATGGGGGGGAGATGGGTTCAACATTTGTTTCCACATGTTAAGTTCATCCTTCAAACTGGTGGATGACAATGGCCGGTATATGGGTATTCACAGAGATTCTGGCCTCCCCTCGTCTCCTTGCAGCTGGCTTGTGAATGCCTCTCTTTGCTTCGGGGATTAAAGGCAAGAAGAAGGTGTGTGTTTGTCAGCACAAGTGTCTGCCTGCACAAGGGATTCCTGTAAAGAGCACAAGAGGGGCTGGTTATTCCCTGCTCACCTCCGCACGTCTCATTCACCAGGATCACACAATAGTCTCCTGACTGACCGACTACAATTACAACTATTTATATAGCGCCAACATATTCCACAGCGCTGGTCTACAGAACGTCACACTGAAGGGAAAAGTTGCAGGTTCTCCGTAAAATTGGACAGTCCGGGTTCTACAACTTACATTGTGTTATGTTTTATAGAAGACACCCTGAGCTCTTGTTTCTAAATTCTGGACTTAGTATTTGGATCTGAGAAACCCGTCCGATCCTGGGTTACAGGGCCAGTCTCTGCCAAGAGGATCAATTCTCCGGCTTTACTGAGCAGAATGTTTGTCTTTGTTTGGGGAACCTTGAGGATACAGACCCCTAAAAAATGGACCATTAAGTGTGGAGCTCTGTGCGTTGCTCCATCCAGGTTATTGTTAAAGGAGATCAGGACACACCTGGTCAGGGAGAGATCCTGCCGTTTAGCGCACAGCTTCTATTCTTCATAAAGTGATCTTATTAAACCGGTTTAACCATTCAGAGAACATTTCATATTGAGTGGATCACTGGGTCATTGTTACAGATTATTAATAGATAAACAGTTATTTGACAATTGTCAGAACTTTGTGGACTCGATGGAACATTGTCTCCTCACTTGGACCTGCGAGTAGCTGGCAGAGCAGGGGGCAGACATCGGTTCTTCTGAGGAATTTGGCTGGGTGCCTGCTGTAGAAGCCTCTGCTTGTCGGGATTATAGAAACTGGGGAGTAAACCGCAGAGGATTGAGAGGTAATTTCCTGAGTCTATGTTCTCAATCTCCCTTTACTCACATAATCCTCTGCACTCTCAGAGCTACCTACACTCACACTGCCTTCTGAATGTGTACAATCCTTTACTCAGTCCTCCTACACTCACACTGCCTTCTGAATGTGTACAATCCTTTACTCAGTCCTCCTACACTCACACTGTCCCCTCCATGTACACACTCAGGGGATGGCAAAAACTATTTAGTGGTCCCAAGTGCAATTTTTCAAACCCAGCCGTTAACATCAGCGATGGACACAAGTACACAAACAAAACAAATGTGTTGATAGACACACCAGGTAACAGAATGGAAAGAATTCAATTATTCATTGTGAAGTGATTAGAGAGCAGTTGCCCAGTTGCCCATCACTAATCAATGGGAGATCTCCCCAGCTATTCAAGTATTTAGTAAAAAGGAGTCCTGACGGACTTCCCAGCAAGGGAATGCGATTACTGTAATATATGCGTAAACCTTTGTATCAAGCCAATGAGCAGTAAATTCATATCATTTGTAAATCACGCCAATAAGCCATGTGCCTCCAAAATCCCTGCCAGTGTCCCCAGCAGCCTTGTGCCATTGCGCTGCCCGCAGCCGCTCTATGCCATCCCTCTGCCACCAACCACCTTGTGCCATCCCTCTGCCACCAACCGCCTTGTGCCATCCTTCTGCCACCAGCACTTGCCCAGGTACCCAGATGGAATCCCCTGCACTTGCTCTGCACCCAGATGGCTGGAATCCCCTGCACTTATCCCATGACCCAGATAGCTTTCTTAAAGGAACACTATAGTCACCAAAACTATTTTAGCTTAATAAGGCACTGTTTGTGTTTAGATCATGCCTTTTGAAGTTTCACTGCTCAATTCTCTGCCATTTAGGAGTTAAATCACTTTGTGTCTGTTTATGCAGCCTTAGCCACACCTCCTTTGGCTGTGACTGACAGCCTGCATTGAAAAAAACAAAAAAACTGTTTCATTTTCAATCAGATGTAACTTATATTAAAAGATTTTATCTCCTGCTCTGTAAATTGAACTTTAATCACATACAGGAGGTTCCTGCAGGGTCTAGCAAGCTATTAACATAGCAGGGGATAAGAAAATCTTAATTAAACAGAACTTGTAATAAAGGAAGGATAAATATTAGCTGCCTCTTTACAGGAAGTGTTTAGGAAGGCTGTGTAAGTCACATGCAGGGAGGTGTGACTAGGGCTGTATAAATAAGTGATTGAACTCCTAAATCGCAGAGAATTGAGCAGTGAGACCGCAAGGCCATGATCTATACACCAAAACTGCTACATTAAGCTAAAGTTGTTTTGGTGACTATTGTGTCCCTTTAAGGACCTTCCTGGTGTCCAGGGGGGAAGCAGTGAGGTGCCTGTTCACTGTGTATGTGCACAGACATCCTGTCTGCCTCTTGCGCTATCTGCACGTTTGGTGAAGTCAGAGGTCGTGGGTCATGTGATTTGTGACCTCTGACTTCCTGAGACACACAGGGAGCGAGAGAGAAAGACAGGATGGCACCGCGCTGCCTCCCCGCAGAGGCGAGTGGCTGCCGCAAAATATACCGGCAATGCTGCCAGTATATTCCTAATGCTAGCACTGGCTGGATTACCAGGATATTGATACGGCTAGAATGTTGTGCGGCCTGGGGAGCAATTGCATACACTACCCTTGGATGTACACATACTGCCCCCTATGTGTACACTCCCACTTCTCCCCTTTTATGAATTATTATACTGCCCCCTATGTGTACACTCCCACTTCTCCCCTTTTATGTTTATTATACTGCCCTGGTATTTTTGAAGATAAATCATTTGGAACATTTATCTAATAGTATTGTATATTAAGGACAACATTAAATTGAGGCCTTTTGCACAATATATACACCCTATTGACAAATGAGAAATCTCAGTGTAATTATCCTGTATTGATAATTTACATTCACAATTTGTTACAGTAGGTGTAAAATTTGGTAATAATGTGTCTACTAACATTACCGGAACCCACTGCCAATAACAGTACTGGCAGCTGGGACATCGACAAATGGGAGTCACATCATGTCCACTGAGAAAAACAGAAGCTTTCGAGGGGACACGTCACACCACAGCGATACTGTGCCGAGATAGAATACCAAGAACTGGGGTAAACCCTGTGCCTCCCATCCACACAGGCAGCTAGGAGACACATTGTGACCATTAATGATACTGGGCCCCAGGAGACACATTGTGACTATCAATGATACTGGGCCCCAGGAGACACATTGTGACCATTAATGATACTGGGCCCCAGGAGACACATTGTGACCATAAATGATACTGGGCCCCAGGAGACACATTGTGACCATTAATGATACTGGGCACCAGGAGACACATTGTGACCATTAATGATACTGGGCCCCCAGGAGACACATTGTGACCATTAATGATACTTGATGCCTGGAGATACATTGTGTACATTAAAGGGACACTATAGTCACCAGAACAACTACAGCGTATTGAATTTGTTCTGGTGAGTAGAATTATTCCCTTCAGGCTTTTTGCTGTAAACACTGTCTTTTCAGAGAAAATGCAGTGTTTACATTACAGCCTAGTAATACCTCCACTGGCCACTCCCCAGATAGCTGTTAGAGATCCTTCCTGGGTCATGGCTGCCTAAAATGCATCCAAACATTCAATATCTCCTCCCTCTACATGCAGACACTGAACTTTCCTCATAGACATTCATTGATTCAATGTATCTCTATGAGGAGATGCTGATTGGCCAGGGCTTTGTTTGAATCGTGCTGGCTCTGCCCCTGATCTGCCTCCTTGTCAGTCTCAGCCAATCCTATGGGGAAGCATTGTGATTGGCTCAGGCTACCAATTCTGATGATGCCAGCAGAGTGCTTGGTTTTTTTTTTTAGGCAAACAGCATGCAGATCTGGCTTCTGGCTTGAATACAGTAAGATTTTGCTATATTTATGAAGGCATAAGGGGCCCAGGGGGGCTAGATGGTGGTTTTAACAATAGAGGGTCAGGAATACATGTTTGTGTTCCTGACCCTATAGTGATCCTTTAATGATACTAGGAGACACATTGTGTCAATTAATGATACTGGGCCCCAGGAGACACACTGGATCTATTGATCTCCCTGCCGGCTCATAGATGAACCCACACATGCAGAGCTGGAAATCTAGGCCCAGGTAGGGGCCCACTCATTCAGGGCCCTCGGTGACCACTTATGGGTAATCAGGCTTTGTCCAGCAGACATGCTGCAGTGGTGTCCACTTTTTATACATAATCACCTTTCTGCCAGTTAGTCAAGCTGGGAGCCAAGAGACACGACTGGCACACACTGTACTCAACAACAGGATGTAGGAACAACGGGTGATCTGGTCTTAGGGAAAGAACACAGTTATAGGGAGATTTACTAAAAATGGAGCATTGCTAGGAATTCAAAGTAGATTTCAAATTTCAGACAAAAATAGCTGAATTTGAAAATATCCATGTCAGCTATGCTTCAAGATGGGCTATATTTGAAATTCCATTAAAATTCTGGACATTGTTCACTTTTGTAAATAACCTTGTAAGACTGAGACGTTGAGCACAGAAACAGACAGGTAGATCAGCACAGTTTGCTCTATACAGGGTAAATCACCAAACACACAATTTTGTCTGGTTGGACAAAATCCTGTTAAAATGGTTGACTGAAATTTTCATAGACAGAACTTGGTCGATCTGATCACAGTCCACCACCCTGCCCCCACCCATGGACAGCAGTTTAGGAATTCTTACTAAATGGGGGTGGGTAGGGCTTGTTTCCCCCTCACGCCCCCCGGCCTCACCCATTGGCATTGTGTGGGGTCTGTTACTATATAGCCAAGGGGAACCCAATGTCCCCATCTAAGCTAATAGGCTTGAATTATATAATAAATGTGGGGAGCGAATGTCCCTCTCACAACTCTACCCATGAGGGGCAGTTGGTGGTTCTAAATAATTATGCAAGGGGGGTAGACATGCCACTGCTGAACCCCCTTACCCCAGGTGGCTAGGGGATTGATATCCAGCCTTTTCCCATTCAATAAATTAACTCTACAGCTTCAAGGTGGGAAACACCCCATTCCCTCTAACATGTAAGCTCACTGAGCAGGACCCTCAATCCCTCCGTTACTGTCACTATACCCCACTCCCTCTAACATGTAAACTCACTGAGCAGGCCCTCAATCCCTCTGTTACTGTGTCACTATACCCCACTCCCTCTAACATGTAAACTCACTGAGCAGGCCCTCAATCCCTCTGTTACTGTCACTATACCCCACTCCCTCTAACATGTAAACTCACTGAGCAGGCCCTCAATCCCTCTGTTACTGTGTCACTATACCCCACTCCCTCTAACATGTAAACTCACTGAGCAGGGCCCTCAATCCCTCTGTTACTGTGTCACTATACCCCACTCCCTCTAACATGTAAACTCACTGAGCAGGGCCCTCAATCCCTCTGTTACTGTGTCACTATACCCCACTCCCTCTAACATGTAAACTCACTGAGCAGGGCCCTCAATCCCTCTGTTACTGTGTCACTATACCCCACTCCCTCTAACATGTAAACTCACTGAGCAGGGCCCTCAATCCCTCTGTTACTGTGTCACTATACCCCACTCCCTCTAACATGTAAACTCACTGAGCAGGCCCTCAATCCCTCTGTTACTGTGTCACTATACCCCACTCCCTCTAACATGTAAACTCACTGAGCAGGCCCTCAATCCCTCTGTTACTGTCACTATACCCCACTCCCTCTAACATGTAAACTCACTGAGCAGGGCCCTCAATCCCTCTGTTACTGTGTCACTATACCCCACTCCCTCTAACATGTAAACTCACTGAGCAGGCCCTCAATCCCTCTGTTACTGTGTCACTATACCCCACTCCCTCTAACATGTAAACTCACTGAGCAGGGCCCTCAATCCCTCTGTTACTGTGTCACTATACCCCACTCCCTCTAACATGTAAACTCACTGAGCAGGCCCTCAATCCCTCTGTTACTGTGTCACTATACCCCACTCCCTCTAACATGTAAACTCACTGAGCAGGCCCTCAATCCCTCTGTTACTGTGTCACTATACCCCACTCGGTCTAACATATAAACTCACTGAGCAGGGCCCTCAATCCCTCTGTTTCTGTGTCACTATACCCCACTCCCTCTAACATGTAAACTCACTGAGCAGGCCCTCAATCCCTCTGTTACTGTCACTATACCCCACTCCCTCTAACATGTAAACTCACTGAGCAGGGCCCTCAATCCCTCTGTTACTGTGTCACTATACCCCACTCCCTCTAACATTTAAACTCACTGAGCAGGGCCCTAATCCCTCTGTTACTGTGTCACTATACCCCACCCCCTCAAACTCACTGAGCAGGCCCTCAATCCCTCTGTTACTGTCACTATACCCACTCCCTCTAACATGTAAACTCACTGAGCAGGCCCTCAATCCCTCTGTTACTGTGTCACTATACCCCACTCCCCTCTAACATGTAAACTCACTGAGCAGGGCCCTCAATCCCTCTGTTACTGTCACTATACCCCACTCCCTCTAACATGTAACCTCAGTGAGCAGGGCCCTCAATCCCTCTGTTACTGTGTCATTATACCCCACTCCCGCTAACATGTAAACTCACTGAGCAGGCCCTCAATCCCTCTGTTACTGTGTCACTATACCCCACTCGGTCTAACATATAAACTCACTGAGCAGGCCCTCAATCCCTCTGTTACTGTGTCACTATACCCCACTCCCTCTAACATGTAAACTCACTGAGCAGGCCCTCAATCCCTCTGTTACTGTCACTATACACCGCACCCTCTAACATGTAAACTCACTGAGCAGGCCCTCAATCCTCTCTGTGCCATTGCCACTATACCCCACCTCCTCTACCATGTAAACTCACTGAGTATGTGCCCTCAATCCTCTGCCACTGTGCTACCATAACACCCACCCCTCTAGCATGTAAACTCACTGAGCAGGGCCCTCAATCCCTCTGTTACTGGGTCACTATACCCCACCCCCTCTAACATGTAAACTCACTGAGCAGGCCCTCAATCCCTCTGTTACTGTGTCACTATACCCCACTCCCTCTAACATGTAAACTCACTGAGCAGGGCCCTCAATCCCTCTGTTACTGTGTCACTATACCCCACTCCCTCTACCATGTAAACTCACTGAGCAGGCCCTCAACTTCTCAGCTACTGTGTCACTATACCCCACCACTCCCAACATGTAAACTCACTGAGCAGGCCCCCTCAATCCTCTGTTACTGCTCACCACTATACCCACTCCCTCTAACATGTGTAAACTCACTGAGCAGGCCCCTCAATCCCCTGTGCCATTGTGTGTCACTATACCCCACTCCCTCTAACATAAACTCACTGAGAAATCTCAATCCTGTTACTGTGTCACTATACCTACCTCTCTAACATGTAAACTCACCGAGCAGGCCTCAACTCTCTAAGCTGTGTCACTAAGTACCCACTCCTCTAACATGTAAACTCACTGAGCAGGGCCTCAACCCCTCTGTTACTGTCACTATACCCCACTCCCTCTAACATGTAAACTCACTGAGCAGGACCTCAATCCCTCTGTTATTGTGTCACTATACCCCCACTCCCTCTAACATGTAAACTCACTGAGCAGGACCCTCAATCCCTCTGTTACTGTGTGTCACTATACCCCACTCCCTCTAACATGTAAACTCACTGAGCAGGGCCCTCAATCCCTCTGTTACTGTGTCACTATACCCCACCTCCTCTAACATGTAACCTCACTGAGCAGGGCCTCAATCCCTCTGTTACTGTGTCACTATACCCCACCTCCTCTAACATGTAAGCTCACTGAGCAGGGCCCTCACCCTCGTGCTATGCTACTATACCTCACCTCTAACATGTAAACTCACTGAAGGGAGGGGCCTCAATCTCTATTACTGTGCTCACTATACCTCACCTTCCGCCTAACATGCAAACTCACTGAGCAGGGCCCTCAATCCCTCTGTTACTGTGTCACTATACCCCACTCCCTCTAACATGTAAACTCACTGAGCAGGCCCTCAATCACTCTGTTACTCTGTCACTATACCCC